TGAGCTAACCTTACACCGGGTAACATGAGCTGTATATTTCAGGCTAACCGGAGCACTTAGCTCTCTATGGGAAATGGGATATTTTTAAAAAAGTCTGCAGTCTGCATATTCATTTTATCCTCTGTCTGTATTTTAACCGCCGTCGTGCAGTAGGCAGGCTTTAACTGTTATTTAAATAATTAAGCCTAAGTTCTTGTTTGTGAAAGTTCTCATTTCCATTATTGTGGATATTTCTGTTTGCTAGGCCTGTTGCAGAACATGTGCCGAGCACGAGATCGCAGATATTTCATACTCAAATGGACTGATCATTTTTACTACCGATTCTTCAAATTCATCTTCAATTACAATGTTTTCCTACACATATAAGCTCTTCTGTGACCACGTTACACGTTTCTTTAAGTTACCGATCGATCCACTGGATGAAATAATGGATTTGATCATATTTGGCTTTAAGACAAACATGAGACAAATCTGTTATATTTGTCGTTGTTGTGAAGACAACAAATGTGGGGCAAATATGTTTTCATATTTGTCCCTGATAAATGCAGGACAAATGCTGTTTGAAATTGACGCCGTATTTAGCCATAGTACAAATATGAGACAAACCAGACAAATGTTTTAAACAATGAAAGCCACAAACTAAGGCCCTGATGAATCTCTCTCTCCATCGTTTTTTTTTTTGTTTGTTTTTTGTTTGTAGAATTCCCACTTGTCTGCTGGGCCTGTTTGAGTTTCCTTTCTTTGTACCACTACAGGGGCAGATTTAGGGGTGGTGGATTGGGGGGTTAGTTAGCCCCCTCCTTTGGGAGAAGCAGAAAATAAAAATATCAAGGATCAAATTCACTTCCACAAAATTTATTTATTTTCAAAACAATTTCCCTGGAGATGGTATACTGTACATAAATTATTAGGAATGGTACTAAAGGGTATTTTCAAAATTAAAATACTTGTCTCTTCAAATAACAGTATTTATACATGCATCACGGCATGATATCTAACCTGGTGAAAGCAAAAATCCTTATTTACAAAGATACAGTTGGACCCGGCTAATTCGAACAGTCTTGGTTATTTTGATTTCCTCTTTATT